GTACAAAAAAGAGGAAAAAAAAAAGAACCACGTACATTATGTTCGTGGACTTGGGGAAAATATTCTGTAAATGGGAAATTTGTAAATTGGAATTTATCTAGAGACCTCAATAATCCATGCCACCCATGCCACCCATGCCACCAGGACCCATTCCTGGAGCCTCTTTCTCATCTTTGGGAAGTTCAGTCACAACTGCTTCAGTTGTTGTCATCAAAGATGATACACTGAGAAAGGGCAACATATAATCGTTGGTTAATTAGCTGAAAAATCAAATTCACTTTGGAAGATTAACAAGGACTTCTTAACTTAAATTGCCTTCTCTAGCTTACCTTGCAGCATCAACCAAAGCAGTTCTAATTACTTTCAATGGGTCAATAATACCAGCTTTGACCATATCAACATATTCACCTGATTTTTCCAAGGACAATGAAGCCCAATGGTTGTTAGCATATGTAAAAGTGTGTGTTACAAATAATGGCCAAAAAAGCTGGCGTGATGTCAAACTAACCTTTGGCAGCATCATAACCAAGATCAGAGTTATCTTGTTCCAACAGCTTACCAACAATCACAGCTCCCTCTACCCCTGCATTAGAAGCAATTGTGTACACGGGTGTCTGCAAAACCAAAGTTGATTCACTATCAAAGTTGGTTTAAACAAAGAGCCAACTTACATTACAAGTTTCATACAGAACCGGACCCCCAGTTCACATGAAAGAAGATTTACAAACCTTCAGAGCATTTTGAATTATCTGAACACCAATCTTCTGATCGAAGTTAGCAGTGGGCAGCTTGTCCAACTCTTTTGATGCATAGAGAAGAGCAACCCCACCACCTGAGAGTAAATTTTTATCAAGGATCTGAAATAGTATCTGAAATTTAGACGAGAACTTACAGAATATTTAAATAAATACCTGGCAGAATACCCTCTTCTACAGCTGCTTTTGTGGAATTTAAGGCATCTGTTACTCTATCTTTCTTTTCACCAACTTCAGCTTCACTTGCTCCTCCAATCTGTGACCACAAGTAGATTTCCATATTTTTATCCATTATATGCTAACTTTAGAAATAGCAATCAATGAACTGTACAATTATAATGAACCCATTGGATAGGACATAAGAAAGCAGA